AAAAAATGTATAAAATTTACATCTGTGCAGTGGAGTTATGTTCTAGAAATACACCGCCTATGATGCTTTAGATTTAGACTAGTAGACCAACTGTTAGAGACAAACGTATCATTTTTATGGAACTACATGATAAACATATTCAGATTTATATAAGCATTTTACAAGTATTGCAGTCATTGAGTAGAGATAATCATGGTATTTTCATCAGCTTGGTACTTTTTGAAACATGACTGTGTCGTGTAAACAATCTGCAATTTTTCAAGGCTTGACAACTTGCCCCTATTTAATTTTCAAACCCAAGACTATTTTGCAAAGTACTGGGCCCGAGCCAACTTTTGAACTGGAACAAAAAAAACAAAAAAAAAAGGAGCTTCTTCTGAAAGAACATTGGAGAAGGCTGCTTGGCTGGATCTCTCTGATTCTGAAATGTGCAGCTTAAGACAAGTGACAGTTTCAGGCACAGTTGAAAAATTGCAGTTTGTCTGTGCATATGTTTGGACTCTTTCCATGTTGTCCTGTTTACAAGTTAACCTAAGTTGGGGTGTTTGTCACGGGTCTTCTTGTTTTTGTATTTAAATAAATAAAGCCGGAAACTGTCTTGCCACAGTTTTGCTGCAGATAGTTATATCCTCATGTGTACTGTGCGCGCCTGTTGGCAAGCACTTTAGTAAATTATCAACTCACCGCTGTGAACCTGCCAACTTGCTATAACAACTCTGCTTTAAAAAAAGTGTTTGTGATCAGGCTTTCTCTTTGTCATCGTATGTGCATGCAATATGATCAGTTGAACAATAACCATCAATAAAGTTTCACAAGATTTGAAAACAAAGTTTCTGTAGCATTTATATATAAGAATTTAAAAAAATCTCTAAAATCAAAACCGACAAGAGAGATAAACTATATTAAAATAGTTTAAAAAAAAAAAAAAAAAAAAAAAAACCCTAACATTTATTTCTGCTAGTTAGGGAATGAGCCATAATTCATTATGAGTTCAATTCCCATATTTAAGACTTAATGTATAAAAGACAAGCTCCCTAATTTTTTAAATAGATGTACATACACACAGAGGCAAAACTTTTGAAAAGCATTTACCAAATATTATGATTTTAATTCTAAGTATGGAAGTTGCATCTTTTTTGAAATCATACACATAAAGTGACTAACATGGGGAATAACATAATTTCTCTGCGATTTTAATTGTCATTAAATGATTCTGCATTCCCTACCCTCCCAATGGTAGTGTAACATTTTAATCTATTAATCTTTTGTTTAAACAAAACAAAACTTGGAAGTGTGAGGGCACAAGCCCAGATTGAAAGGACTTTTTGTGTTTATTATTTTGGAAAAGTCTTACAATGCTCCAGTCAGTCATTTTAAAGTGTATGTCTGAAATAGTTATGTAAGAAAAGGGTTTGGAATTTTTTTACAATATATTATATTGGGAATGTGTTCACTTATATAAATAACTATTAATAATATGAATTATAACAATGATTAATACCATGTGTGGAATATAGTGACTTCTAAACCGTTAAAAGATCTGCAAACCCAGAAATGTGTATATCTGTCTTTAGAAATTAGTGTTTATATCACTACCGTGGTTTGTGAATAAAGAAAAATGGTTTGTAATATCAAAAATAAAAGCTTAGTCTGAAAAGGTACAAGTAAGTTGGTGTTCAAAGTTGTTTTGCTTTCTTTTTTACTGTGTTGGTTAAAGGTATTTCCAGAGCAACACTGCTGGTACTGTACACAATGCACCTCGTAAACATACATCAGTGCTGACTGACAATGGTTAACAGCTCTTTTCTAAATATATTTAGGGATAATTAAATTCAGTATGGCTATCCGGGCATGCCTATAGTACTGTGTCTGACACATTTCTCCATAAAAACTCCTGCATAACATACAGTGAAAAATCATATTTGTCAACAAGAAAAAAGGTTCAAACATTTTCCATGATGAGTGACATGAACCTATGATCTTTCATCAAAAATGATCACAAAGTACTTTACTAACCGCCCACCAGTGATCTACATTACCTTCTGGGATGAAATGAAGCAATGGATAAAAAGTGCACAGCAACACTACACAGGGTGGAGGAGAGGGAGGGAAGTGTACCAAATTGTTTCACTTTTGAAGCATTCTCATTATGCTGATCCCAGGGTGGGTGGCAGAGGTGGAGGGAAGTGGTTACATTGTCCCAGGCCTTGGTTTAGCAAGGAGTACAGGACTCTGAATGAGTCTGAGCAGTATAAGCTGTTGCTTGTAGCATCAAATGAATGCCAGCATCGTTTAGCTGAGTCTTGGCCAGCCTCACCACATCTCTCTCTCATCCCTTTGGGGGCGTTATCAGAGAGAGAGAGAGAGAGAGATCAAAGCTAAACAGCATATGCCTAATAAGTAAGTAGCTGACAGGCCCCAGGCCTCTGTCTTTTGTAAGAAAACAGAAAAAACATGTGGCCTACTCCTTTCTGCTGCCACACTCTTGCCCATAGTGTCTGTGACAATTCCCAGTCCCAGAGTGGAAGAGAAATCTGCAAAAATTGATGACTGGTTGGGTAGCTGGGTTAGTGGGGAGAGGGAGGCAGGGCGGGGGCAAGTTTGTGGGCAATAAAGAAGAATTAAGAGTACAGGGAGAGAAGTGTGGGCATTATGGCAGAAAGAAGGTGAAAAGCCCAATATGCACAGAGTGGCGCTGCTCTCCATTTGCTTCAATAACTTCAGAAACATAGAGAAGATGGGATGCCATTGGTGGCCTGCCTGGTATCTCTGCTTCATTTATTCTGTTATATAATTACAATGCTGCCCCTGGCCTCAGCCACCCACCATTCATTTGGGAAGATGCAAACATAAAACACTGTACAGATTACGCGACTATTTAACTAAGCATTTTTTAGGAAAACCTAAACCAATAAATTAGTATAAAAACTGAATGGAAAAATGGAACCATAAAATGAGGGCAAGGGAGCAATAGTGAAGCTAGAGGGAGCAGATATTCTTTCACGTTTGGCCCAGAGGGATCGCAGACATGCTCTGTGATTTCAGAACATATTTATATATTTTAAGCATATAATGACTGAACAGTAAATTCAAATATCAGTAAAGTCCGAACAGCAGCAACGTCCAAGAGAGACATTGTGACTGCAACACATATATTAGGCTAAAGATAGCCTGAAACATAACTTCAAACAGACCATCTAACATTACCTTTAATCCCTTTAGATAGCCTAATAATTCCACTCTTATACCTATACCTGCCAAGCCAGGTCTATATTAGACCCAGAAGGTTGGCTTAAGGTAGGTAATTCCAGGAATGTAAGCTGGAGTTGACTTACCTGAAGCCAATGGTCTCCAGCCTTTTTAAACACAAGATCACTTTTTCAATTTAGGTGCAATACAAGATCTACCTCAAACTCACATACCTTTGCCCCACTTCCGTCCTGCTCCTTGTTTGAAGCCCTGCCCCAGCTCCACCCCTTCTCCAAGGCCTCACCCTGCTCACTCCATCCCCCTTCCTCCCCCATCCTCACTCACTTTCACCAAACTGGGGTAGCGGGTTGGGGTGTAAGCTCTGGTCTTGGGCCAAGGAGTTTGTGTGCAAGGAGTTTGGAGTGTGGGAGGGACTTTGAGCTTAGCCCAGGCTGGGGGATGGGGGTCCAGCAGGGGTTTCAGGGTGCAAGCTCTGGGAAGGATTTTGGGCGCAGAGGGACTCACGTCGGGGACAGGAGGCTGGGTGCAGGAGGAGATTCAGGGTGGGAACAGTAAAAAAACCAAACATAACCCACTTTGCAAGCAGTAAAAGCAGTAACAACCACACCCCATATATGTGTTGGGACTGGAGATGAGAGTGAAGGACTGTGTGTGTGTGTGTGTGTGTGTGTGTGTGTGTGTGTGTGTGTGAGAGAGAATGACAGACATACACAGTGGCTACGTCTAGACTGGCATGATTTTCCGCAAATGCTTTTAACTGAAAAGTTTTCCGTTAAAAGCATTTGCGGAAAAGCGCGTCGAGACTGGCACGGATGCTTTTCCGCAAAAGCACTTTTTGCGGAAAAGCGTCCGTGCCAATCTAGACGCAGTTTTGCGCAAGAAAGCCCCGATTGCCATTTTTGCGATCGGGGCTTTTTTGCGCAAAACAATACCGCGTTGTCTACACTGGCCCTCTTGCGCAAAAGCATTTGCGCAACAGGGCTTTTGCCCAAACGGGAGCAGCATAGCATTTCCGCAAGAAGCACTGATTTCAGACAGTAGGAAGTCAGTGTTCTTGCGGAAATTCAAGCGGCCAGTGTAGACAGCTGGCAAGTTTTTCCGCAAAAGCAGCTGTTTTTTCCGCAAGAAGCACTGATTTCAGACAGTAGAAAGTCAGTATTCTTGCAGAAATTCAATCGGCCAGTGTAGACAGATGGCAAGTTTTTTCGCAAAAGCAACTGCTTTTGCGGAAAAACTTGCCAGTCTAGACGCAGCCAGTGGGTGAGTGTGACAGAGATTGCATTACCTCCTTCTCTCTGTGTGGAGATGGTGTACGAAAGAGAGGGGAGGAGAGACACCCTATTATCAGCACCCCCTTCTTCTCCCTCCCCACCCTGCACAGCAAGCAGGAGGCTCCCAGAGGGGCAGCTCCTAGGCAGAGGGCAGGAGCAGTATGACAATGGGTGGAGGGGCAACTGAAGTGGAAGATAATTTTCTGGCCACACCCATCAGGATCACCTGTCAGAGGCTCCAAGATCTACTGGTAGATCCCAATCTACTGGTTGGTGAGCACTGCCTTAAGCCGAACTTGGCTCATCTTCACAGTATGAGGCTGATAGCAGGAAATGCTCCTGTTGGCTTCCCTTACTCCTAGCAATTGCAAGGCATACCAGTGCCGACCAGAGCTGCTTTCAGCTTTCAGTTTACTGACTCTTAACCAGACTCGCTAAATTGAACACCAGAAGCTCCATCTCTGGCATGGCAAGTGGAGACGTGGCCTCAGAGGCTCTAAAGTGACTTCAGTTGTGTGTATGCTTGTTTATTGGTTTGACTGGACTTTAACTCACCTCCTTTGGTGAGAAAGCCTGCCATTTTCTCTTTGTGTGTATGTGTGCGTACTGATTTGGATTGCAACGTTGCTTACACTTTTACAGTCAGAAAAACACTTTGTGGAAAGGTTCACCTCCTTGCAGTAAAAATAAAGCAGCCTCATTTTGCTGGAGGGAAAAAAAGCCCTCTACCTTTGCTTGAGGGGAAAGAAAATTTGTTTTGGGGTTATGAGTGTTTGAAAGCATTATAGTACTTTCTGACTGTGACTAGTACAGATTGGTAAATGAAGCATCTAAGTGAATCTTTTAGAAAGAGAAAAGGGCAGCAATGCACCCCTTGTATTAGTTTGATCTTTGTGC